ATATTCAAGGAGCATTACAATTGGCAATTGTTCAACTCACTAATCACCCCCTTATCCTTGACCGTTCTAGCTAACGTAACAAATCATCATTATAGACTTTTTTTATAACAAAAATAAGTTAGAGCCTAGGCAAGATAGCATTCTATTGACTTCGGAAACAGTTTCCTTGGGATTTTCGTTAAACCATCATTAACACATTAAATAACTGAAATACTGAATATAAAATAGGTACATAAATTATAACAGAATGTAGTATTTATTTAGAAAATTTATTATGAACAACAGAAAAATTAATATTTAACTTTTTTTGCATTAAGCAGTAGTTAATGTATCGTCGGTTAATTGCAAATAGACATTAAGTAATATTTAAAAAAATTAAAAGTGTTTATTTACTATAAATAAATAAATAGTATAATACATAGAACAATTTGCTAGGTTGTAAAGCAGTTTGTTAATTTATCGGTTATTTTGTTGTTTTCGCAACAAACATTGATTAACAATTACAATTAAGCAGACATACGTATAAACTGCTAGCAGCTATTTATTATACGAAACTATACTAAAATTTTGCAAGCCTTCTGATTATTTTTTTTAAATATTTTTTTTCTCCTCCAAAAATGCATTACATTTTTTACTAGGAAACCACAATACACTATTAATAATAATTTAAACGCAATAAAAACTAATGAAATTAACTTTTTTGGTCATCCTAAAACAGAAACATGAACCAAAATTCTGGCAAACTTAAAAAATAAATTCATCATTTAAAAAACAAAACAAAAAAAAACAAAACAAGTAAACTAAAAGATAGTTGTATATTTATTTTGGTAAATAATAATAATAAATTGATCCATTGAATCAAATAATTGTTTAAATATATTTAAATTAATTACAGCTAACAAGCAGTCATTAACCATTTTTTTTATTTGAATATCATGGCCATAAATTTTCATTAATTCTCACAACAAAAGGAAACCATTAAACGAAAATGCGACACAGAAACTCCATCAGATAAATAGCCGTGATGACTTCCGATTTTCATGAATAATGGACCTGTAACTAAAACTAATTATTCAAACCTATAAATTACGATATAAAATATTACATAGATGCGCAATTTTGGTAGTATGGATACTTCGTTAATCACGTGTACACAGGTGGTGTATACATTGCCTTATTTATAAATAAAATTAAATGCCAGTTTATTCAGTGAAACTGCCTTTGAACTGTTTACAGGATATAAGTAAATGATAGTTGGCTGTAATGAATAATTGAAGATAAGATTGGTTGGATTGTTCACTAAAAAAAAAAATATATATAAAAATAAATATAATTTATTTATTTTTACATTTTTTTTACTCAATACCCCAACAACCATTCTTCTTCATCACGTTTAAGGAAAATATTTCTATAATCTAGTAGTAAAAATCGGAACTATTTAATTAGATGTTTTCTAACTTTTAGAAATCTAAAATTACGTTTTTTATTTGTTTAACTTTACAAGTTAATTTTAAGTGGAAATATAAAATAATTACAATGATTCTTCAAATAAAAATCTAAATTCTTTTAAATTGTTCATTTTATTTTTGTAAAACACAGGCGCCGTGGCAAAGGGTTATGTACTAAACTAGGTCGTTAGAGTTATTTCTAGAAAGGTATTTCGACACACTTAAACAAGGATTTTCGTTAACACTCAAAGGAAAGATATAGCTAATAAGTCCAGAGAAAAACCATAAACCCCCAATATTGAAATATCGTGGAAAATATAATTTTACTACCGACAATACATTCTTGAAGTGAGTTCAAAACACTGGTAAAATTAACCTCAAAAAAAGACGTTTTCATAAATTCCTTAAGGTCTAATGCCTCATAACTCACTGTTAATGGTTCTCTTATTTCGTTGCAAACTGACTTTCATTATGTCATACTATGCTAACAATAGTATATAGCTCAGGTCGTGAAAACAAAGCTAAGAATTTATTCGGTGTAAAAATAATAATTAACAGTATATATATATATATATATATATATATATATATATATATATATATATAGGACAATATCGCTAAAAAATGAGTTATCGTAGAATATATTTTTCAAGGTACTGAAAGGATATCAACAAGATCAATTAGCAATTATTTATTACATCAACGTAGAGGACAGATTTATAATCTCAAACTAATATTAGCCGGACTAGTGAATGCGACGGGGATTCATATATTTTATTTATAGCAGAGAAAATAAATTAGGGAGCTATAATGTCAACTAATTTGTGATATCAACAACGCTTAGCGGGAAGGCATCCATTACAAGTAAATGAATAAAATTTGGAATTCCTATTCGCTGAGTCCTATAAATATTTACTCATTGTTTAATTTAAAATATCAACACAGCAACACAAATTTATCGGCTTAACTAAAAAATCAAGTTTAAAAAAAGTACTGAGAAATTTTAAACAATAATATTAAAATATAAACAGTTTACATTTTTCACTCTCCTACCTATACTAGGCGATCGGGTCGAATATGTTGTTTTTGACGGATCTATACGTTTCAGAGCAGGTTTTTTTGAAAGGTGACAAAATTCCCTAAAAAACTATATAAAAATCGTGATTTCGGACAACTATTAACGAAGTAAAAGCTAATCAATTTCGTATGTACGGGTTCATATCCTGCTGTAAGAAAGGGATGAATGAAACAGAAAAAAAAAAAGTGAGCGAAAGTAAGAAAATCTGTTGCTCGCATCACACAAGTTTATTTCCCTCACTAATTTTTTCTTGATGGACACATTGAAACATATAAAAACTTTTCTGAAATAGGCAGTGTGAGTGGACACACCAGATTTTTTTCTTTATCTTCATATATGTCATACATGAGCGTATGAAACCTCAAGTCGGCCGCCACTTTTAAAAGAAATGGTAGATGATAATGTCGAGTCTCAAGGCTCATCCTGTAGCTTTGTGATAAAAAAAGAAAGACCAAAAAAAAAAAAAAAAAAGACCCCGCTGCCTCGAAGAATAAACGCTGAAGGCAGTAGAACTGATTTTTTTTTAACAATCGGATTTCGATTACTGAGATTAGAATAATATGCCTCCCAAATATAATGAAAGAATTATTAATGGTACCTATGAATTACATACAGCCACTCATATGCAGCTGTTTCAGTAGGCAGTATGTAAAATGCACTTATTTCATAGTATCTTAAAATTACGACTTTGAATTAAATAACATTAACTTAATAAACTTTTACACAACCTTTCATTCATGCTCGTTTTTTAAATAATTTTTTTTTAAGCCATAATTTCGAGATGGGCATAATAGAGATAGGCAAATGCTACACTGAGTACTGAATACTAAGTATTTTACTCAAATACTGACCCATATTGAGTACTAAAGAATTTAATTACTAATTTATTTGATGTCAAACGATTGACTGAAGTAGTGATTGAATTCTTTTTTTTTTTTGGTCCTCCCCTTCCTCGCCGTTAAGGCTATACGGGGTTTTCCCGGGCCAGGGGGTGTGGGCGAGGATTTAAAAGACGCCTTGGCACCGGGACGCGAACTCATGACTCAGAGTTTTAGCTCTAACATACCAATTTGCCTAAACACACAAGATCAAAGTGCATCCGCCGTCGTCTTATACTACTCTTGCAAAAAATAAAATAATTCAAAACCCATTCATTACCCTCAATATGAAGACTGTATATATCATACATATTTCAATCCGCTTTTTTTTTTTTAAAGTTATCTCATTGAAAGTGTAAAAGACTGGTAGCATCGCCTAAATTGGATATTTTTCGGGAAGAGTCCTCCAAGCTACTTTACAATATTTTTTTCTTTTTAGATAAAATAATTATATAAGTACCAGCTCTTTAGTATACTTATTAAAGGGCATCGTTGAGCACCTTGCACATGTACCGCCTATGTGCTACTGAAGGAGATGTTTGAGAGAGACATAATCAGTGATATAATGTTCTCGCGGATAGAGATCATCCGAAACTAATGTTTAAAGAAAAGTATGGTACTTCAGTACTTATACGGGTGAATGGAAAACATCACACCAATCCACTCCTTTCTGAGAAAAAACGGAGCTATACAACAAAGAAGAGGATAAGACAGAACAGAGAGAAATTAAAAGCTCTGGACAGTAAATTGTTTTGCAGTTAACATCCAACTGCTGCAATTATCCCTATGGTTTAAAAGGCAGGACATGGTTGTAAATAAAAAAATAAAAGTAGTCTAGTTAGTTTGTATGAATGCACACGTACACCCAGAAGAGGTGACAACTAGGGCCACGGTCCCTGGCGACACCACAATCAAGAGGGATGATAATAAAGAGGTCACTTCCGATCTCTGGACATGACAGCTTCCTGACGTTTAGCCCTCCATAGTAACAGAGGATGCTCAGTCGATAATCCACCATGGCATCCAGTCGGACGGTAGGTATATTCAGGTAAATAGGTTAATGGTATTTCCAATTAACGAAACCATTGTCTACCATTGTGTACATACGTACCATTATTATTGGTTTACAACTTTAAAAATTGCCATAAATAAAATTTTTAAAAATATCGGTAAATTTAACTCTAGTATTATTTTTAGCGTTTTGGGCAAGAATTTCAGTTTCTCGTCAAAGTTTTTATTTCAATTTAAATATCTCTTAGCATCTATCGTATCACGGTGTTATTCGTCCCTTGATTTGAAATATTCAATCGGTAGCTATCTAATATGCAATTCATAGTTTATTCCGAAAGTGGTGTCAACATTTAAGAATGTTTAAATAATTTAAAGAAATTCAGATTTTAATCGGATACCACTAAAAATACCATATCTCGACAACGGTATTAGGTATATACGTTTAGCGACGGCAAACTTACTGATAATTAATATTGGGAGCCCTTATATTTACCTTAAGTATTAAACTAGTTCATCATATTATATAACACAAAAATGTCCATAGAAATATAAATATTTTTAATACTTCAAATAACTTACACTCACCAAGTCGCCATAACTGGCAAGGGCGGAATTATTACTCACCTGAAAAAAAAAGAAAAAAAAGTTAGTTATTAACTAGTTAATCGTTTATAATATAGTGCCTATTAATAGAAACAAATAATTTAAAACCTTAAAAACAAAATATATATACATAGAAAATGACATATAATTTCCTCATATTATATTACACAGTATCGCAATTCAGCTCAATTTATCAAGCCTTTTTTGGGCTTGACTCATAATTAGGATCATAAATAAAAAATGACATCCAAAAATATATCTATAAACAAAAGTACATAAATAAGACAATATAAAAAGATGTGTAGTATGTATAAGATATTTTTTTATTTCTAGGCCTAATGATCACCATCCATAAGCTCGTATATATATATATATATATATATATATATATATATATATATATATATATATATATATATATATATATGTTGACTGGTATTTTAAAATTATGGGATAGGATTTGCAGATTTGTTTTGTTAGGCCTGCCATTTCCACACGAGCTTGTGGATGAATATATATATAAAGAATAATAATAGTTTAATGAATAGATAAAAACATTCGTTTACAACCAGAGGTTGAGAAACGGAAAAAACACTTTAATATTATTAAAGTTTCGGTGTCAGTGGAATTTTACTGTCGATTGTTTTTCAGTAATTTTGAAACTAAAACTTTTTTCTTACTTAAATAAGGGCGAATCAAACATAAAAGTTAAAGGAGCTAAAGTTATAAACTTTCTTTCTTCCTTTAAATAACCCATCGGTTATTTAACAAGATATAGAAATGCATATATGTATTTTATATTATATTTTTTATAACTATTTTTTAATTTTTCTTCTAAGGAGTGTCTGGACTACAGAGAACAAAAATAAATGATCGACAGCCGTTGACGACATTAGGGTTTTACGCTGCCCAAGACCCAAATAAATAAACAAACTGTTTTTCATGTAAAGGTTTTACAGAACTTTTACAGAACTATTTTTAAAAACTTTTATTTGAAAGTTCTGTCGATTTCGCTAAAAGATCATTCTAAAAAATGGCTTTTATTCGTAGCTAATCGAACAAATCAGAATCGTGTGTAATTTATCTCAGACAAATTATAATTTTAATCTAAGCCCAAGAACTGTGGGGAACAGCAAAATTTTCTAACATCAAGCGCATCCAATTCTTCCAGTCTAAAGTCCTGTAAGAAGCTCAGGGTTCTCCTGGAGTTCCCTCGCCTGATTGTAAATAGTGTATATAGGTATGCATGTCTTTTTTGCTTAGTTTTAATTTTTTTAAGTAGGTTATTTTATTTTATTATTTTAGTATATACTTTTGATTATTATTTTGCTTCTATTTATTTTATATTTTTTGTACATATAGTGTGAATATTATTCTACCTCACTATAACTAATGTCTAAGAGACAGATTATTGTAATAATAATCAATAAATAAAAAAAATGAATGAAAATCCAAGCCCAATTACAGTTTATTTTTCATATATAGGAATTTTTTTATAAGAACTTGAATAAAGAAAAGTTAAACTTATATACGAAATATTTTGTTTAAACTTTTATTTTAAGAACTTATTTCCCAATAAAGTTTCCCATAAATTGTTGAAATAGAACTTTCAAAAAAAGTTCTTTGTTCTGCCAAAGAATTTATTTTAATCGATTTAAAACCTAATCAATTCGTTTATCCGGAAGCATTGAAGAATAGTTATCACATAAAATAATTAAGCGAAGAGGCAGCTATTAATTAATTCATAGAATTAATTAAAAAAGGACCTAACAGAATCGGATCGGTAAGGATAATATCGAGGAGTTGGCCCCTAACCAAATACCAGCGAGCTAAGAAGCTATGAATTAGGGTTGAGATAAGCTACCGCCCCTGGATGTAATTAATCATAACGATAAGGATTACACAGGATAAGCTAAATCCTCTGTAGCACCGCCCCTTCTCGGTAGACCACTAATCTAACGTTATCCCTTCTTTATCAATGTAGGGGTCGCCTCAGATCTGCAATAGGTTTCGGGTAGATCAACCACCAAACGTAATGACTCCTGGACTGGAGTAGCCGAGAAACATAAAGTAGTTAGAATTATATATATAAGGAATAACCACGAAAACAAACTTTGAAGTACGTATATGAGTATATGAACCAACAGTAACATAAGATAATTCGATGGAAGGAAGGAATCTGCCTGAGCTAAAAGCCTTTAAATTAACTTTATTTATAACAATAATAAATCCGATACCTTGGACTCTACTTAGACAAACGTCTAACTTGGAATCCTCATACCAGACTGAAACGACAAGAAACCGCTCGACGTTTCAGACTTCTGCAGCACTTACTAGACAAACGCTCAAAGCTCCCAGTCAATTACTAAAGACTCATATACATTACTACAATAAGACCTATTTGGACTTACGGAGTTGAACTCTGGGGCTCCACTAAGCCATCGAATTCCTCTCGTATCCAAAAAAATCCTCACTGCTCCCCTTACTTTGTCACAAATAAAATCATCCATAACTTAATGTTCCTTATGTTTCTGACCTGGCCCAATCCAGTTACCTATCCTTCCATAACAAATTTCAGAACCATCCAAACACTCTTGTTACGAATCTTGCTTCCTCTTCGATCCCTGACAACCCTCCGAGGCGTCTGAAAAGAAGATGGCCTCGAGATCTCCTTTTGTAAATAAATTTTTAGAGTGCTACCAGTGGGTAGTTTCTCAACAAGTGGTTTCATGATATATTCTTTTGTTCACATTTACTGAATGTATTTTTATTTGTAATAAAGGTGTAAATATCATCAATAAATAAATAAATAATAAAATAACAATAATAATGTTAGTTAGTTATTACAATATTACGGATAAAAGACACTTTTAAATGGACCTTGTGGTCCACGGCTACCTTGAGATTATCTCCCATAATTAACCAGTGTCGAGAATTATATCTCGGAGCCGCCAAGGTATAAATACAACCGGAACCACTGAACAACCTCAACTTTGATTGACACAAGATATTAAGATCAAACTGCACATGAAATTCTGAGAATGGAGTATTGATAAGGCGTTCAGGAGTATGAATTCTCTTAATTTAGGACTTCTAAACTCCCAAGTTGTTCCTTTCAGTTTTATTTTATTTTTCACCCTACCTTGCCTTTTAGGGAATACGAGTGGTTACAGCAGTGAGATGTGGTCTGAGTGAAAAACCACTGCTTCAATTTGGCTACTCAAAATTATATCTTGTGCTGTGTGTTCTATCCGAGTTAGGCCACCGTCCTCTTCAGTACCTCCTCTGTACAGGGGTGTCCCTGTTCCCAGAAGTGGATTGGCTATACAATTTTCTTCCACTAATATATAAATTATTCAATTAATACCTTAATTACATCGCAGCTTTCGACTTCCGCACGATCAAGAGAGTCTGCCAAGGGTCCTTCGTCATGTACCCATCCATGAAAGTGGATCAACTATAAAACTTCATATAGTTAAGGTGCAGATGAGCAACTCAACTTAAAAATCGATTATTTTGGACTTGTTTTCAATTTAGTTTAATCATACCACCACATTTCTATAAATAATTTATAACAATTAAATTATTCCGTTTCATATTTCAGTCCTTGTATTACTTCTAAGCCATTAAATAAAAACATCTGAATTTTATCTGTTATGTTTAATATAAATTACAAATTTTACAATGTAATCACTTTAACCTAGATTTAAAAAGATTAAAATTTAAGATCCTGCCCCGAACAGAAACGATCAGGACTTCCGTGACTGATTTATGAACGAACCGTTGTAGAGCTTTGGTGTGTTACGTTCGTTCTTTTCACTTAAGAAAATTAAGACAACTAATTTGAAACCATTGAACTGAAGAAAAAAATAATGTGCTACAACTTGAAGGCCGTAAAAAAATGCATAAAATTTAAAAAATGAGCAGAACCCGTTAATAGGATCGTAAAGGCGGCGAGATTTCTCAGCGCATGCTCACTCCGAAAGCGGAGAAAGTTGGAATAAAAGAAGACCCCGCTGTGCGGAACAACCGCTTCCAGCGCCACTTTCTTCAAGCACATACTTCCATCTGCTGACCTTCACGGCTCGTTTGGATTTATTTTCACTTTGGCATGTTATACGGATCGTGCGGGGATGGGTTTACCGGCATTGTGTCATGCAATATAACATATTGCATATATTTGCCAGCAAACAACAACGCTAAGGAATGAATACAACGAGAACAGAGGAAATACAGATTTTTAGAACAGGATTCATCAGATGATGATTAAATCAATGGATATTTATGGAAACGGTTGGTTTATATTTACGAATTTAATACTTGATGGTTGACCGTTGTATATTTTTGAGGAAGGAGATGTTCCGGAGTGGCAGTCATAAAATATATAAATAATCCATTCACTCAGGAGAACTCTAAGCCAAGCCCTTCTCCCCACTCGTGGAAGAAAAGCCACAACTCTAAGAGATCCTAGCGCCTCTCTCAGCAGCATGACTAGAATTATGGACCAGTAGAGATTGAGCAGAGGCGCTAAATACACCCATACCTGGCTTGAGTGAAGAATATAGCCAAAACTCCAATATTTACTTATCACAAAAGGTCTCTGGGCCACTGCCGCTTCAACCCTCGAGGATTGTAGAGATGGGTGGTGCAAGACAGGGATTGTATAAGGGGATTTCGATGATAGATAAGGTTCTGGTGAAATTTGGAGATTTTTTCTGAGATAAGGTCTAGGACAAATTGGATATTAAGGTCATGGTGTAGGGGTTTGTTGGTTACATAAAATGGAGCATCAACTATTGTTTGAAGGACTTAAGATTGAAATGATCGGATGCGTTTGATGAAAGTATTGTCTTATAGATAAGTAATTTGTTTCCAATAGAAAGTTTAGATTTTCTGTTTTGTCTTTTGAGTCTAGTATGTGGGTTTCATGTTAGTATTCGGTCTAAAAGAAAACCATGATACCGAAGCGTGTCCGAGGAAGGAAGATGGATGGAATTAAAGAAACAAACTTATTAAAATTA